GAAAAACAACAAAAGAGCATAATGAGAGGGATGGGTTGTAAAATATGCCAGTCAGGGTAGGCCACCTGTAGAAGGTAAGACATGAAAAGAGGTGTAAAGTGGGTGGGGAAGTTGGCTGTATATAGGTATCTGAAGAGGAGTACAGTACAGGGGACAGTCACTTAAAGGCCCTAAGGTGGGGATGACCCTGGTGTGTCAGGAGGAGTCAGGTCAGCTGAGTAGAACTGAAGGAAGAAGGAGAAAGACACACATTGTTTCTTCTGGTAGATTTCTGTGGCTCCCTGGGAGCCTGTGGGCCAAAGTGCTTCTCCACTCTTTAGTAACCTGCTTTTTTTTTTTTTTTTTTTTTTTTTAGTTGTAGATGGATATATAATAGCTTTATTTTACTTATTTATTTTTATTTGTTGCTGAAGTTCGAACCCACTGCCTCACATGTGCTAGGAAAGCACTCTATCATTGAGCTATAATCTGATCCCCTAGTAATTAGCTTTTTCTCAAGAGTTTTAAGAATGGTTTGTCATGCGTATAAAATTCTTCAGCCTAACTTAAAAGCCATATCATTTTCCAACATGTATCTATACCATTTCTTTTTCTTTCTCTTTCTTCTTTTTTTGGTACTGGGGCTTGAACTTGGAGGCACTTTACCACTGAGTTATATCCCAGCCCTTTTTATTTTTTATTTCGAGAAAGGGTCTTGCTAAGTTGTTAAGGCCTGAGGCTGGCCTAAAACCTGTGATCCTCCTGCCTCAGCTTCCCGAGTTGCTGGGATTACAGATATGCGCTACCACACCCGGCTATTTTTCTAATTCTCTGTTAGTGGACTTTTAGATTGTTTCTAAGTTTTCATCACTATACAACAGTACTATAATGTACATCCTTTTGGCTAAATTTTTTACTGAATCCAGGATTTTTCCTGATTCCTAAAAGTCAGATTGCTGAGCCAACGTGAAAGTAGATTGTAAAGGTTTGTATTGTGTATTGCCAACCTTTTTAAAGATTGCCATCACACCCAGCTAAACCTCATTAGGTACCCACCTCCCCCCCACTTCTGCCTTTCACACTGTCCCTCCTGGTTCCAGGCTCAAGCACAGACATCAGTGAGGATTGGGAGAAGGACTTTGACTTGGACATGACCGAAGAAGAAGTGCAAATGGCACTTTCCAAAGTGGATGCCTCCGGTGAGGTGAGTGGGTGTGATTGGCCACAGGCAAGCCAGCCTAGTGATGTCAGGGTCTGAGAACTCTCCTCAWCAACTCCCTGTCCTGTCAAAGTAGATTCCTGGACCTAGCTGAGGTGGCAGGCTATAGGAAGAGAGCTGGGACCTCCCACTCAGGTCCATGACGATCAGCAGCAGCAGGTTCTGCTTCCCATCAGTTTTAGGGTGGACGGAGGGAGAGTTCTTAACCATTGCTCTGAATCATACTCACCTAAGGAACTAGAAATAGTAGATGCTGGGCTGGGTATGTAGCTCAGTGATAGAGCACTTTCCTAGCATGCCAGAGACTCTGGATTCAAGACCCAGTACAAAAAAAAAAAAAAATGTGGGCAGATTAGAAAGACATATGAAGGCTTTGATTTTTCATGTTGGGAAACTGAAGCCTCAGGGCAGGTAGTAACCTATTTAAGAATATTTTGCACCTGTTGACTTCACTATACTTAGGACATAGAAGGCCCATGGTACCCTGTCATGCCACGGAGACTTACTAGCTTTTTTGTGTTTTCACGGTCTTCTTTAAAACCTGACATGCAGGCTGGGCATGGTGGCACATTCCTGTAATCCCATTGGGTGGGGGAGGCTGAGGCAGGAGGATTKCAAGTTCAAAGCTAGCCTCAGCAACTTAACGAGGCTCTAAGCAACTTAGTGAGACCCTGCCTCTAAATAAAAACTAAATAGGGCTGGTGATGTGGCTCAGTGTTTAAGTGACCTGGGTTCAATCCCTGATACCAAAAAAATAAAACCTGACAGGTAGCCTGGACATGGTGGCACATTCCTATAATCCCATCTACTCAGGATACTGAGGCAGAAGAATCACAAGACTCTTTCTCAAAAATACATTTTTTTCTGGGTGCAGTGATACACACCTGTAGTCCCAATGACTCTGGAGCTGAGGCAGGAGGATCACAAGTTTGAGGCCAGCTTTAGCAACTTAGCAAGGCCTTAAGCAACTTTAATGAAACCCTTTATGAAAATAAAAAATAAAAAGGGCTACGGATATGGCTTAGTSGTAAAGTACCTCTGGGTTCAATCCCAGTACCAAGGAAAAAAAAAAAGAACTGGGGATAAGTTCAGTGGCAGAGCACCACTGGGCTCAATCCCCAGTACTGTGAGAAAAAAAAAAAAAAAAATCCTGACGTGTAGCTTTGAGCAGAGTATTTCGATAAAGCCATCATTTCAGACAGCAGGTGACAGTAGGCCTAAGAGCAACAAGGCAAGAGAAAGTTCCCTGGGGAGACTTGAGCTGGGAGTTAGGGTGCTGAGTCCTTGGTGAAGATCTCCTGAGCACCTATAATCCACTGCTACCCTGCTTTCAGTCACAGGACCACTCTGAAGTTTTCTGCCTTTCCTAGGCATAGCCTTAATTAAGCTCACAGGAGACAAGGTTTCCTTAAGGGGTGGGCTTACTGGTTTCTTAGGCAAGGTGCACCCCTTCAATGTCCTCCATTGACTATGGTGGAAGCATTTCTGATGGGTCTGAAACAATCCGAGCAGCAGGCCTGTCCCTCAGGCAGAGGGCAGCTCTTCTGCCCAGACATATCCCAACTTACTCCTTAAGACTAAGGGTTCACTCTTACAGGATCAGGGTATGGCCCAGGGTTGGGATAGAGGGCAGCTAACCAGAAATGGAGGCAGCTTTGCTCAGCAGGAGTCTGGGCTTGACAAAAAGGAGTAAATGTATGTTTGTGCTCTTCATTATTCCCTCCCATTTGCAGCTAGAAGATGTAGAGTGGGAGGACTGGGAATGAGGGGAACCAGAGCACACAGCTCCCCCACTCATGGCACCTCCCACCTCCCTCGCTCATCTCAGCCCAGCCCTGGATGACACTGACTGAGAATGTCCCCCAAATGGCCTCTGCCATCCAGACCTCTGGTGGCTCCCTGCTGGTCCTTTGAGCCTCTGCTCACACCTGGGAAGGGGCTGTCTAAATCCACGCCCAGGACTCTGACTCCTGCCAACCTTAGGATAACCTAAGGGGAGGACACCACCCCTCACCGGAGAGCCTACATTTCCCTGCTGAACACTCACTGCTCCTGGGGCTTCCTGCTGGGAAGCCCCAAGGGGCAGCTCCAACCCTTCTGTGAGCTGACAAGCCGAAGCTGAACCACCAGTCTCTGGGAGGAAGCCACAACAGCACATGCTGTCCACCCACAAGCAGACAAGGAAGGCAGTGCCACCTGCCCTTGGCTAAACAGGGACAGCAAGCACATGTTGATTCCTATGCCAGTGGATAAAAGGCACTCATCTCTGGGAAATTTGCCTATCTTGGGAATCTTCCCCTCCCAGGCATTTTCCATTCCTGGAAAGGTTCCTTGGGATTCAGAATCTAGAGACCAAACCCTAACCCACCTCCTTCCTTTCCTCCAGACCCCACTGGGATGTCCCTGTATTTTCCCAGGGCGGCTTCATGTCAAATGCACCCAAGTCCTTAGCCCAGCTGTGCCAATGCAAGGGTCCACTCTTGCATTTCCTCCTCTCCTCAAGAAGGGAGGGGGCCACTTCAGGCCCCTCTGTGCATTGCCTGGCAGGACACCTGGTCCAAGCAGCTACCCACCTCTACTTCCCTGTAGCTTAGGACACAAGCCAACTACCAGCGGTACAGAGCAGTGAACACAGGTGAGGTAAGACCAGCTTCTCCCGCCTCAGCCCTCTGCTTCCAAAGGGATGTGCCGGGGCAAATGTCCTGAGATTCCCTGGGTTTCTGCAGAGGCTCTCCTCCTGGAAGACAGAGCCAACCTGTGGCTCCCACCCTCCACTTTGGTGAAGCCACATCTCTTATGGGGTAGTGAGGGCTGCAGGGATTCCTGGAGACCCTGGTGCTTCACGATGCAGCTCTCGTGATTCTTGTACATAAGCTGGTGTGTCCACCAGTGATTTAAAGGGATTGTGGTCAGGGATGCCAAGAGTGGGGCACTGTGCATCAAATGTTGAGTGAGGGGGTGGGATGAAGAGAATACTGATTTTTTTTTTTTTTGATGGGATGGGGTTTTTTCCTCTTTGTAATTATTTCTTTAGTTTAATTAACCTTTTGGTTGTTTGTGCAATATTATATATTTTAAATTATAATGCATCTCCCCAGAGTATTTTGTAGCCAGGAAAAAGAAAAAAGGAAAAAAAAAAARRAAAAAAAAAAGATTCTAACAGCTGTTAGTTTTGTAATTAAAAAGGAAAGAAAAAAGAACTTTGTCCTGAACCTTTTACAGAATTGCCGTTAACAGCATTAAAGAAATTCAACAGAAGCCAGAAGGTGTCTGGGGATCTGTTTCTGTCCCCCAAGGCAGCTGCACTGGAGCCCAGGCAGGACCCACACACTGCAGAGTGGCTTCCTGCTTGGAGCTGAGACAGAGGCATTGGGGGTTTGGTCTGGGTCCTAAGGAAATTAATCCCTTGACCCCATGTCAGACTTAGCTTGGTTATTAGCTTGGTCTCTGGGATGAAGAAGGGATGGGGCCCCGACTGGCTTCTCACCAAGACAAGGAGCCAGGAGGCCATTTCTGCATTCCCAACGCTTCTGCTTTTATTTGGAAAGGAAGTTGCAGCAACAGTGGTTCCAATCGCTCTTGTCATTTTTTTTTTCCTCTCCTCTCCTCCCCCTGTGTTTGGATGATTCTGGGGTCTAATTTAATTAACTTTGGTTAAACACCTGTATGAAAATCACTTGTCAGCCATAACAAAAGGGAATGAGGCCCTTGGTTCCATGGCCCTTGTGAGGGAAAGAGTCGTCTAGGGAGGGTGTAGGTAAGCTTTAGTATAACTAAACAAAGTGTAAAATATATATCACCATTTTAGAAGCGGGTTTTGGATTTGCTTTCTCCCCCTACTTTATTGGGGAGGACTTGCCATTGCTTTTATCAAGTGCTTGCTAGCCATGGGTGCCAACTAACTTCTTCGATTGAAGGCCGGAGGATCATGTCTGGTTCCAGGAGCCGCTTGAGCAGGTCCTGGCATTCGGTCGAGATGCCCAGATGAGTGGGGAAGGACACCCCCTTCTGCTGCTGCCACAGCATCTTGGGGATGTCTGTGTCATCAAAAGGTAGGCTGGCACAGAGCATGACGTAGAGGACCACGCCCATGCTCCAGATGTCACCCTTCTTGCTGTCGTGGGGAATACCCTGCAGCACCTCAGGGGCGGCATAGGCTGTACTGCCGCAGAAGGTCTGGCTCAGCTCCCGGCGTGACTTGGGTAATACCTTGGCAAAGCCAAAGTCGGTCAGCTTGAGGTTGAAGCCCTGCAACAAGGCGTTCTCACATTTGAGGTCCCGGTGGGCCACGCCACAGCCATGGCAGTAGCGGATGGCCTCGACCATCTGACGGAAGAGGGCCTTGGCCCGGCTCTCAGGCAGTGGCCCCCCATTCAGCACACAGTCAAAGACATCCCCTCCCTCAGCCAGTTCCATCACCAGGTAGATTTTCCCATCTGCAGACTCCAGCATCTCATACACCCGGATGATGTTCTTGTGGTCCAGGGTTCGGACAATCTGGAGTTCCCGAGGCAGGAATCTCTGGATAAACTCTGAGGAAACAAAGAGAGATGTACATCAAGATCAGAAGGGCCTAACTCCTTACTCCTGACTCTACCCACCATGACTGGGTCTTATTCCTGGGTTAAATAGTCTTAGATGTATCTAGTGGCTTAAAATTGCAAAGTATATTCACTTATCTTTTTAATACATTATTCAGAGGAACTACTCTCTGCCAAAGTCAGGGACTACTGTGAGACCACAGATATTTAGCTGCTTTGGGGACTTTAGAGGAAGCCACTGAATCTCAGGAGACCTGATTTGCCCACAAGGTGGAGAACCACCTCCTCCTACCCCTACCTTCTGACCCACAGTTCTTTCCAGAAGCCCAGTCTTCCTTTTTCCAGCCTCCACCTGCCTTGGAACCAGCTCCTGCCCTCTGTTAGCCCTGGCTGTGGCGTCTCCCAGTCTCTGTTCCCCTCCTGGAATAGGAAAAGCCCCAGGACTCTTCACTTTGTGCCAATTTTATCTTGGATTTGAGGTGTGATGTTCTTGGAATCCCAGCATCCCTGTCCCCCACTGACCTATCCCAGGGCCATAATCCTCCTCGGTTCCCGACTAAAAGGGAGGAGGGAGATTTCAGTGACTGGAGGAAGTACCCACCCACCTCAGCCAGCCCTCCCTTGCGCCAAAGGGGCCCCAGCTCACCTTCTGGCCCTCCCATCTTGTCTATAATTTTAATTGCCACTTTTCTTTGGTGTTTTTTGGAAAATGCTTCTTTGACTTTTGAGTAGGTCCCTTCCCCAATGGTCTTGCCCAGCTGGTACCCATTGGAGAGCAGAAAGTCCTCCATGCTGTCTAGCGCCTCCTTCCTTCCTATCACCCTCTCAGCTCATGCTGCCTCCGCGAGGCAGCTCTACTCCACCATCGCCCTTGGCCTGCTCCTTTTCCCCCCAAGGACTTCATCCACAGCCGCCCCCAGCGCTAGAACATTCTCCGTCTGGACACAGCCGCGGGTGGTGGGGAGGGAGAGGGTCAGACATTTTTAAACTACCGACCAATTGTGATGTAAATGCTGTGTGACCCTTGGCCAAAATGGGCAATGGCCCTACCTGCCCTCACCACCACCACCACCAAACCCAACATCGGTTAAGTCGCCGCCACCGCCTTGCCCGCATGCCAGTCAGTGAGTGGCAGCCTGGTCGCGGAGGGCGCCCGGAGCGTCTGCATGGGCCTGGGATGCCCAGCTCCTCCTCGTGGAGGCTGCCTGCCCGTAGGTAGCCCTCGTCGCCTGCGCCCCCACCGGGCCGCCGGGGGTTCTGCGCGACCCGTTCTCCAAACACCATGATCTTATAGTTCCCCGCTGGGGCCTGAGCTAAGTGCTGGGCGGCCCGGGGCGACAGGGGGTTCTCCGGCGGGAGGAACAGGCTCTGTGAGGTCAGCACGCCACGACCCGGGTCACAATGCAGCCCTCCCCCTCGACGCCCGGCCTCGGGCGCACCGCAGACACCTGCCCGGCTCCCCCTGGACCGGAGCGTCCTCCCGCGGCCAGGGCTCGGGCAGCTGCTTCCAGCCTGGGACCGGCCTCGGTCTCGGCCTCCGGCAGGTGAGCAACAGCCAGGAGGGCGGGAGCGGGCAAGGGGCGCACGGCGGCTCGAGAGCGGCCTGACCACCATTCCCCGCGCAGAGCGCCCCGGGGCCTGGACATGAGTGCCCAGGAGCCGSCCCAGGGTCGGAGATTCCCCATTGAGGCCGGAGACTCCCCTGGCCTTGCCGCCGCCCCCGAGTCCCAGGACAGCCCGGAGCCGGTAGCTACGGAGCACAACCCGGTCAGGTGAGACCGGCGCCGCGCCCCGCCCCGCAGCCCCTCCTCCGGGCTCCGCCCTCCGCCGCATTGCCCATCCCCCGGGCCCTGCATCCACGCCCCAACCCCACAGGAGCCCGGGGGTGCCCCAAAGGCGTAGTCCGGGCCTCAGCGCCCCTGGTCTCGCGCCGCTTTCCCCAGGCCGCTTCGACGCTGCCCCGGCTGCCACTGTCTGACGCTGCTACACGTGCCCATCGACGTCTACCTGGCCATGGGCGGGAGCCCCCGGGCCCGCGCCACCTGAGTGCGCCTGCGCAAGGGGGCTCCGCGGGAGCCGGGCGGGACGAGGCCAGCCGCTGGCCACCAAGCTGAGGTCGCACGCGCCGAGCACGAGACAATGATGCACATTTTAAAATAAAAGAATGATGCACATTTTAATAAAGCACAGCATAAACTGTTCTTTCCATTCCGGGCTGGCCGTGTATGTCTGTCCGTCTGATGGGCTGCTTGCCTCCTCCCGCGGATCTGATCCTAGGGGCCCGCCCTTCCATGTCGGCCTTTTTCTGGCCCGACGCCACCCTTCTCCCTCCATTTCTTGTTGGTCATGTTCCCCAGGGTCCTGTCATCGTCCATCTTTCTATCTCTGTCCTTGGGTCACCAGTGAAATTCAGATTACTACGCTGGACGATGGCGACCTACTGAATCCAGGGAGGGACAGGTGGGCAAACGGAACTTAGAAAAAAGACTGGCCACACCAGGCTCATGTCATTCTCCCAAGCTGGAATTAGGTTTTGCTGTCTGCCACTTTGTGATCACGGGCACCTCTGGCTCTATTAGAGGGGTTAGGGTCTGACCCAGTTCATTTTGAGTAAGATTCTCCTAGGACTGGCGGGATCACGGAGAGCCTGGGAAAGAGATGGTTTGGAAAACTGATTTCTTCCTTATTTTACAGGTGAAGGAATTGAGTGATGCTGGCACACTCCTCAGTGTTCTCAGGCTAAATGCCTTTAAATCCATCCGTAGGAGGAGCCCATGACATGAAGGCTGCCCAAAGCTGAACAAGTATTTTCTGCTTTCCAATTTTGCTTTAATGAACCTTATTATTTTTATTTGGGGAAAAAAAATGTAACCCAAAGATCAGGTTAGTCTGCTGTCCCAAGAGATCTAAGCACAATTGACTCAATAGCCCTCCCCTAGAAGTCCAAGCCTTTCCCAAGAGCACTTCAGATCCCACTTCACCTGAAGGGGACACCCTTCTTGGTTTTCATGCAAAATGCTCTCCCAGGCCCTTCCAAACTGCCATCCCCCAAAGGTGAATCCTTTCCATGCTTCCTTTTTGTTTTCTCATCTTCCTTCTTTAAAAAAAAATTGTAGTAGTATATGGACAGAATGTCTATTTTTATGTGGCTAAGGATCAAACCCAGTGCCTCACACATGCTAGGCAAGCACTCTGCTACAGCCTTAGCCCTTGCTTACTTCTTTCAACCCCTCTTCTCAATTCTCTTTTCCTTGAAAAACACAGCCAAGTGTAGTGGCACATGCTTGTAATCCCAGCAATTCAGGAGACTGAGGYTAAGGACTTAAAGTTGAAGGGCCAGCCTAAGCAACCTAGTGAGACACCGTCTCAAAAATTAAGCCAAGCATGGTGGCGGGCGCCTGTAATCCCAGTGACTCGGAGGCAGAGGCAGGAGGATCACAAGTTTGAGGCCAGTAGTGAGACCCTAAACAACATATGGAAACCCTGTCTCAAAAAGTTGAAAAAAGGCCTAGGCTTAGTGGTTAAGCACCCGCTGGGTTCAATCCCTGGTACCAAAATAAATAAATAAAAATCTGGGGATGTAACTCAGTAGCAGAGAGCCCCTGGGTTCTGTCAGATCAGATGGGGGAGGCTTTATTGCGATATCACTCCCAGGCGGAACTCCATCAGACCCACAGAGGGGACAGGGGAAGGGTCTGAGGAGAAACTTTTATGGGGCTTACAGCAGGAAGGGAAGGGCTTGGGACAGGAAAAGGTGTTCTTAGAGTCCCTTGCCCCCTTGGAGTTGGTCAGGGGAGTTGGCTGAACTCCAGGATTGGCCAGGGGGTCCTGTTGATTGACAGGTGTTAGTGAGGAGATCTGGCTGATTGACAGGCGTTTCCACAGGCATCTGATTGATGTTCTTTTCCAGTGCGGGCTGCTTTGTTCTAAGTTGCCACTAAGTCCCCACCAAGTCCCCGCCACGGACCTAACAGGTTCAATCCCCAATACCAAAAAAAAAAAAAAAAAAGCAAAACATTTACTACTGCTACCTTCCACATGCTTGGTTTGTGAGGGATGTCAAGATTGCAGACACTGATTGACCTTGCCAGTGGTCCAGATCTGGGGGGGGGGGGGGGGGGGGGGGGGGGGGGGGGGGGTGGCTAGTTAGTTCTAATTTATCCATGAGCAAGGGGAAAGGGGTATTCCAGAAATGGAATGGAGAAAACATTGTGGGCAAAGGCCTAGAGGCAGGAAGGAAAGAGGGTCAAGTTCAAGAAATTCAGTTCAGTGTTCACCAACACCTACCTGAGCCATGCTATGTGCTGAGAGTTCATGCCTCATGCAGGGAATCCAGGGATGGGTTAATGAAGCTGAGTTAGGAGTCCTCCTAATACCAGGCTGAGGAGTTTGAACTTTCATTTGTAGGTGACAGGGAGTATAACAGGCTCCAACCAAGGTCACTTCATTCTCTCATTTATCTTCTCCATGTCCATCTTGTTCTGTTCTTTCTTTTTTGCACTGGAAATGTCTCTGGCCTAAACTCTAGTCCTGAATTCGAGACCTGCCTCTGCCACTTACTGACTGTATGAACTTAGACTTCTTTCTAAGCCTCTCTTAGCCTCCATTTCCAAATCTGGAAAATGGGGTTAATGACACCTGCTGCAAAACTTCCATAGGTCATGCTTGTACAGTCCCAGGCAGTACATGAGCAGGCCACAACTGCTGCTGTTCCAACCTTCGACTTCAAGGGGCAACAGAGAGCCAGAAAGCCAAGGACAATGTCTCCAGGGGCTGGGTAGCCAGCCCTGCAGGGGGTTGGGAAAACCCTCTTGCCAACTTCCCTGCAGTTCTGCTATGGAGTCTAAGAATGGGGTGGGGTTGGGGGGCATTTGCAGAAGATTCCCCAGGTGGGAAGGGCAGAGCTGCTTTCTTCACCCTCAGGGGTAAAGCTTTTCCTGGACCCCAGTGCAGGACCTCTGGGTCCCAGCCTTTTTCTCTGGGTCTGAGCAATGAGGAGGGACTCGGGGAAGGGATATGTTCAAATCACTTCCTTTCCTGACTTCTGTCTCAGACACCTTATTAGCTGGCCCCTCCCTAAGGAACCCCCTTTTAGAAGGAGGGGGCGAAGTACAGATGGACCCCCCAGGTTACCATAGAAACAGCAGGAAAAGGGTTGCTGTATCGTCATGGTAACAATTGACGTCAGCACTACCCTTTCCTATCGCTTGATATGAGAGGGGGGCAGCCACCCCAACCACAAGCAAATCCCCCACAAAGCCTCCTCCCCATGCTGAGCCAATCAACCAAGGGTCGACAGGCTTAATATAGCACAGAGTTAAAAGCACAGACTCTGATGTCAGTCAAACCTCAGTTCAAATCCTCTCCCAGCCTCATCCTAGCTGTGTGAATTTGAGCAAGTTCCTTAACCCCTTGAAGTCTCATAGGTGCAATGAAGATAAATGAGCCTCCACAGGTTTATGATGAGGATTGCCCGGGGCCACGTAGGTATCAGGTGTGGGGACTAGTCCACAGGAAGGGCACGCAGACATTAGTTTATCATCTTGGGACCTGTCAGGGGTTGTGGTTTCTAGAGGGACCCCAAGGACTGGGCTAGGTTTGAAAATCTCAGGATTTGGGGTATTGTGTTAGAACCAAAGACAGTGGAATTTCCAGGTTCTCAGGAAACCCCAGATGCCACTTTCCCTGAAACCCCATCATATCCGGGTTCTGACCCAACTTCCTCTTTCTGCTCCCAGCTGTCTTGTACTATATCTTATCAGCAGCCTTCTACATCTCTTCCTCCCCCCACCCACATTGGTACCAAGAATTGAACCCAGGGACATTGAATCACTGAGCCACATCCCCAGCCCTTTTTATATTTTATTTAGAGACAGAGTCTTGCTAAGTTGCTGAGGCTGGCTTTGAACTCCCAATCCTCCTGCCTCAGCTTCCCAAGCTGCTGGGATTACAGATGTGTGCCAATGAACTAGGCAGCCTTCTCTCTCTCTCTCTTTTCAGTTTTCAGTGGACACAACATCTTTATTTTATTATTATGTGGTGCTGAGGATCGAACCCAGCGCCCCTCGCATGCCAGGTGAGCGTGTTACTGCTTGAGCCACATCCCCAGCCCCAGCCTTCTCTCTCTTGAGCTTCCATCTGCATCTGCTTCTATAAGGGAAAAGGATGGGTGACAAACATCACCCATGGGCAACCCCATGCCAGGTGGAACCTTGGATGGACACAGGGAGATGGGTGTCCCAGTTCCTACTGCCCTCTCCCCACCCACCTTTGAGGTACAAGGACCAGAGACTTTCTCATTCCCTCCCTTTTCCCCACCCCCCAGCCCAGGCAACAATAGTTCATTCTGCCCCATTTTCACTGCCACCATCATGAGGGAGGCCCCCATCTCTAGCCATCTGGATTCCTCCAGCATCCCCCAACCAATCCCCCTACTTCCTTCCTTGTTTATTCCTCCAGTGCAGAATTAGTTTATAAAGACCACAATCTCAGGAAGGGCATGATGGTGCACACCTGTAATCCCAGCAACTCTGGAGGCCAAGACAGGAGGATCACAAGTTCAAAGCCAGCGTCAATAACTAAGCAAGGTCCTAAGCAACTTAATGAGACCTAGACTCAAAATAAAAAATAAAAAGGTTGGGGGTGTGGCAGTGAGTTCAATCCACTGTACCCAAAACAAAAACAAATGAATAAAAAACCACAATCCCAGCTATGTCATTTCTATTTAAATCTCATCAATGACTTCATGTCTTTTGTCAGGCCACAGTGGACACCCTCAGCTCCTCACAAAAATCTCTTCCCACTTTTAAGCACATGTACCTTCTGCCTGCAATAGCTTCCCTCAAAACCCCACTTTCCCTTCAGGTTCATCCATTGTTACTTCTCAGAGAAGGCTCCTCACAGCCATCCATCTCCTCTCGTAGTAACTGCTTGTCCCAGTGTCGATGATCCCAGTTTCATGCCCCTATGGACTCACGAAGGGCTGGGACTGTGTTTTATGCATCTTGACATTCCCAGGTCTATGATGGGAGGGCTCACAGTCTGCAGCTTAGACCAGCTGGTGAATGACTGCTTGATTAGTCCACAGGGGTGAGGCCAGGTCCTGGTGAGGAGCTACCTGAACTGGCCCAATGGTGGGAATGGCTCTCATAAGGAACTGACACTTGGACTGAAGGGTGAGAAGCAGTTACCCAGGCAAAGATATAGAG